CGTAATCAAGCAGAAGGCGCCTTGATGTGATGAAGTGAACCCATCCAAACGACCATGAGGTAACACTGAAGCTGTAGTGATTTTCTAATGAAAGGCCAATTTTCCATGAACAAAAAGTTCGAATATTTCGTAATGTAATGAGCGCAACAACTGTGGTAATGAAAATTGGGTGCTCACTCGAGTGTTTCCGTAGCTTAACAGGATACAGACTGACCTAAGTGCGACGTGTTAAAAAAAGGAATTTCCAGAATGCAAAATGACCCTCTCCAAGCTGAACAGCGCCGAAAGCTGTATTAGTAAGAATCTTTCAAAGGGAATCAGTTGGGGAACAACCCTTTTAACATCGTCTACGAGGGTCACCTTCACCTTATTCTTTAGCATTAGCCCCATTCAGAACTTCTTATAATTCTTATTCTTTCCGGAAATCTTATATGGTGACGGCACATCTGGCGATGGATGAGGTGACTATATTTCCAACTTGAGACCTATTCTCAAGCGTGGTGCAACAAGTCCAACCTGCTGAGCCGTCTCATATCACGGGATCTTATATCGATGAAAATCCAGCCATTCCTTTCAGAAACAGCTACTACGTAAATAAAAACTCTCACATAATGAAAAATAAATAAAACAGTCGAAACAAGAAATAGAATCCCAAAAAAGCATATGAAAATAAAAAAAGAACGGAAGGCTCACTTTTCGTTGGTCCACTCGTTTGCGCACATGGAGCACAGTGAAATTTATCGATCAGAACATCCTCGTACTCTTCTACCCCCACACAACTGTAACAATCCCAAATATTATGATTTAATCTGAGCCCACAATAAAAGTTTGCGAAAACCCTATTACTCACCTTCCATGGAACCACTTTTCACAGCAATCGCATTGGATCCAGAAAGTGTCAAGTGGATCGATTTTTATGTTTTGGCCGTGTTCAGAAATTTGTTCGACAAGTGGTTCACCAGTCTCACTTTTTCTGAAGTTCTTTCTGAAGTTGTTTTTGATAGGCATAAATGATCCTTCAGTAATGCAAAGCACCAAGGCGACTAAATTAGAGGAAAAAAAAACACATACTCAGGTACCCAAATGGCCTTTGCTGGGCCACATATGCCGCATTCATTGAAACTACCGGCGGAATGATTGTTTTGAGCGACCTGAAGCAAAAAAAGTCTGTCTAACGGACTAGAGGAACAGGGCCATTCATTTACAAAAATGATGCTAGGCGGTAACTACGATAGCAAAAAAAGGAACAAATTGCGAAAAAAAAATTAGTGTGGTGGCGGACTAATAGTTGACGAACAATTAAATAAAAACTAATGGCTGATGCGAAGCATGCGCTCATACTTTGCGATGGGACATTGGGGAAAATAGAAGAATGAAGGGAATAGAAAGTAAAGACATCCATCTGGTAGCTGCGGAAATGGAAGAATAGAGTAATCGGAGAATCGCAGTCCATTGATGCCTATCCACTCTTTTGATCCTATTCTCCCGTTGCGATGCATGGACACGGTATAACGCATTGCGAAGAGCCACGTTTCAGGTCTCTGCTCTACGAGCAGAGCACTGAGTAAATTGAGGATCTAAAGATGAGTCTTTGTAGAGAGGGCGGTATTTGCCTTCGAGAAAAAAATATTTTCAGTTGTTCACTTTTCGCAGTTTTTCCTGTTTCAAGTGCTCTATACCCGTATTTAGGGGGAAAATGTAGAATTCTTCGAATAAAAACCCGGTGGAATTCTAGGAAGTTGAAAAATTCAGGAAGATGGTAAGGGAAGTCGACTTCTGCAACATTTTTCCCAACAACAGATCGTGCCCTACCATATTAAGTCGCACTGACTCTCGTCGCCTGCGTTCTGAAGCAGAGTTTCGAAGGCATGAGGCTTGATAATTCGGGACACGTTCTGAAATGGTAGCAGGGGTGCTATATAGTGGGAGGACGACGAGAAAGCGAAGAGGGTCAAGGTCAAAAACCCTGCAAAGCTTTCGTTCTTCACAAATCAGAAGGCAATTGGACGAGTTTCCTGCTGGATCGTGCCAATAACGCTACAGTAGATAGGTTTGTAGTTATATACTCAATATCCGTGCCACATAGCAGCCGCTTCAAACCCCTTCACTGTGCGCTGTACTTCGCAAATGAAGCGATACGATCAGCATCGGTTTGTCCGAGAGTTGGACATGTAGGCAGGAGGGAGCAGTGGGCGTCCGGGTGGGTATGTTGCAGCTTGATAGGGCGCTATAAGAGTACCTTCGTTGGAGAAGAAGCCGCGCAGTTGCCTGCCAAGGGGCGCAAAATTCTGTTCTGTTGGTTCAATGGGCCTTTTGTCTTCAAAGAAAGGAAAATTCAAGGGAGGACCGCCTCCCACCCCTCCGATATATCCTATTGTTAGTACTCAGGCAGCTACATCAGATGGCTCAAAATAATCTTCAAACCGACCATAGTGTCAACAGACAACAACTGAGAACCATCAGCATCTCCTTCTTGTGACGGCTCTGCTACGTTAGATTTTGCTTCATCCTAAATATTAACACTAGAAAAAACACTGAATTGGGTATAGACTCAAGACATTACCTTGACATCTTCATACTTTTGCTCTGTTGAAAGTCTGCCCTCAGAAGAACACGGTTCAGTTATTAGTTCAGACAATAGACTTCGACAACTTGGTTGCGGTTTCGGAAATATCTCCAGCTCCCGTAGACGTCCTCTCGATAGACTGAGTGTTAAGAGGAATATCAGAGGACGATAGCCTACTGGCAGATGATGAGGTGTCAGTGGTAGGATTTTGATAAGAAATAATTAGAGGATCAGAGGGTGTAGGTTTATAGGGAATATTTGCCGACATAATGCTTAACAAAGCTTGGAATGTTTTAACGTGAAGGCAACAAGGAATTTGAACATACCGTAGAATGTGCCCCATGGGTTTGCAGTGGTGGTTCCGGAACAGACGTAGTACTGCTAGAACCACCTTGAGTTGAGCAGGCGCTCTCGGTGACTGTGGAGCGATTAGAGCCACCAGGAACAAACTCTAGGAATCCATACAGCTGATCATCCGTCATTTGAGGACCTTTCGCTTGTTGGCCCCATTCCATAACTCTAAACATAACATATGTCTTGATACACCGTCCCTACGAGGTTGACAGAGAGGAGCAATCCAGGAATCGTCGGATAATAGGAATTGAAGACACTCTGTGATCGCATTTAATAGGTGGCGGGTTAA